AAAAAAATATATATTTTCATCGTTTAGATCCTAAGCTACTTAACATTTTGCGCCTGTTAGCCATACTCGTACATTATTCAACATATCAACATAAAACAAAAACGTACGTGTGGGGTAAACCTTTAACTTTAAGTAAACAATTGTTTAAACTTACTGTTGCATATTTCTAATAGTATACAAGCGCCGAAGAGCGGAGCTCGCGCTCGAAAATGAAAAGTAAACACGTGGTGACGGTGGGCAACGAAGCTGTCTCACTATCCGGCAAAGTCCCGACTCCGACTACAAAAATATTGTTGCAACAATGCTAAACAATTTCCAAAAATTAGGATGTTTAATGAACCTTAAACTCCACTTTCTTGATTGTCATCTTGACTTCTTTCCAGAAAATCTAGGGGCATTCAGTGACGAACAAGGTGAAAGAATGCATCAGGATCTGAGTGACTTTGAGAAAAGATATCATGGTGTTTGGGGAAAGAATATGTTGGCCGACTATTGCTGGTGTTTAAAAAGAGACACAAACGTAGAACATAAAAGAAAATCAATTAGAAGATCGTTTGAAACTAAACGTAAACGATTCAAAGCTGACGATTAATTTATATGCTAAACAAGGAGATTAATTTATTGAAAACAATTTTAAAAACAGTAAGGTGTAAATGGGGTGAAAGTCTCACCTTAATGGCTGGACACGTTACTGTTCTTGCCTTAACTGGCCGGGACATTCAGTCGTCTTGACTTAGTTGTCTGGACACGCTTATGTTCTTGCCTTAACTGGCCGGAACATTCAGTCGTCTTGCCTTAAGTGGCTGGACACACTCTTTTTCCTGCCTTAACTGGTCGGAACATTCACTCGTCTTGCCTTAACTGGCTGGACACACTCTTGTTCATGCCTTAACTGGCTAGGACATTCACTCGTCTTGCCTTAATTGGCTGGACACGCTTGTATTTCTACCTAACTGACCAGAAAATTGCCTTAACTGGCTAGCCTCCTTTATGTTTTCGCCTCATTCGGTCAGGAGTCGTATACATACGTATACATTTTTTCAGATATTTTAGACCGATTTTCTCGATTTCACCTACAAATGACCTCGGCATGACCATGATACGACGATAAATGTACTTAAATGGTGAAAATAACAGCGGCTTTAGAACTCAGCTAGCCCAAAAACTTACGTAAAAAATTTTTCAGATTTTTTAGACCGATTTTCTCGATTAGACCTTCAAATGACCTTGATATGACCTTCATATGACATTCAGATGTCCTTCAGGGGTGAAACTGACAGCGGATTTTAACTCAGTTACTCCAAAAACATAGGTATAAATTTTCTCAGATTTTTTAGACCATATTTCTCGATTTGACCTCCAAATGACCTTGATACGACCATTAGATGTCTTTGAATGGTAAAAATAGCAGCGGCTTTGAACTCCCAAAAACATACGTATGAATTTTTTCAGATTTTTTAGACCATTTTTGGCCATTTGACCTTCAAATAACCTTGAACCTGACGTGAAGGAGCTTAGCCAACCTCGGATTCGGAATCAGCGATCCAAAAAACCTATAAATACCCTGGTCAGGTCCGGTGATTATTCTTAGATCAAATGTTGACCCTGTGTTATTGGTTGACAGAAAGTGTCATTGACTACATTTTTCATGACGCATCTATTCCCAAATTTTTTTGGATAAGTGGGCTCTCTAAGTCACCTCACTTTTTAATTTATTTTTGTCTGTGTTACCGATATCTGAATATTACACAAACTGAACGTAAAAATAAGGTCCTTTAATAAAAATACCCACTGTGGCAGCTGTAGGACTTGTAGGAGTCGATTTATTTTATACATGTGACAAAAATTTTTATACGCTACACATTCTTTACTAGTTTTAATGGTATGCCCCAGAATTGCATCTAATTTGACATTTTGGTTGTATGAAATGATGAACTCAAATAAAAAGTATACAATAATATATTTAATAAATACTTCACAACTAAATCTCACGGCTAGAAACGAAAATTGGTGGTACTGAACCTCGGAGCCTTTAAGCTTTGCTCAAGCAGGAATTTCTTGTATTCCTCCTCGGTTTCCGTAGCCATCCTAAGCCTATCCTCGGCCTGCCGCATTATCCTGTTCAGGAAACTCTTATTTCTGAGGACGCACCTTTCAAAGTCTCTCTTCTTCAGCCTGTACACAAGGCTGGTCTCGATGGCGATGATAGAAGCGGTCCTGGGTTCCTCCGGCAGCAGCAACGCTATCTCTCCGAAGTAGGCTCCATCCTGCAGGTGGCAGATCTCCTTCCCCGAACGGGTGTACACCGCCACCGTCCCCGTAGCCAAGAAATACATGGCGTCCCCGTAACTCCCGTGCTGGATGATTGTATCCTGAGGCATGTACAGCTCCGGCACGAGATATTCCACTATACTGCTTATTTCGTCAGTGCTCAAATCGGAAAAAATGGTCACGTTCTTTATCATGTTCTTGTAGATGTGCAACGTCATGTCCTTCTTCACGTTACCAGAGAGCGAGGAGCTGACGACCTCCTCTTTAAAATATTTCTTTTGGTACAAGAAGTTATAGTAATCGGATATCCTCTGCTTCAAGTTCATAGGCAGCATCCTTCTCGTCATGTACTCATCCAGTTGGTTGATCAGCTCTAAAAATTTTATTTCGATCGATCTGGAGTTGAGGATGGCCCCCGCCAAGATGAGCCAAATTACGGCGACTAGTAACTTCCCCATGAAATACGTGAGTAATGCTACGACGTACTCTTCCGGCAATTCTATCCCATACAGTATCTGCCGGATGCCTAGGATATAAGCTGAACTCTTGAAGAAGGAATGACAGTATTGCCTCAAGATAGGTTTATCGAACATTTTACTTTTTTTGATCCATGATTTTGCAAAACGGTCCTGCGAGTCGAAAATGTATGATGTTACCTTAGGAACACCAAACTGCATGCAAGCCGCCCAATGGAATATGATAACAGCCGTCAGCAAGATGCAGACGAAAAGCGGAGCCGTCTTGGACTTGACTTGTAGGTATTGCGCCGACCTGAATATGTAAATAAACAGCGGTACCACCCTTACAAACTTAAGAGCCATAAAAGTATCCAGGAGAATATGGACAACATAGTATTGGTTCGTGTAGCGTGCTACTGAGGAGTAGTGTAAAATCCCTTTGGGGAACGAAGACAACACGTCACATATAAAATACGGACTCAGTATGTAATGCCTCGCGACGTTACAGAAGTCCAACTCGACAACGTTCTTCTCTGTTGTTTCTTTTATAAATCCAGTGAAGAAGGTCAAGATGATATCCAACCAGCAGAAGAAGTCTACAACGATGGTGTACTCGATGTAAAGTGGAATTTGTATGGAGTGTCCCGGTGCCACGAATGCGTTCATGGGCTTGGTGAACAGGGCACTCGTGTACAGCCAAACCAAGAAGACTTCATACATACCCCTGAACTTGCTAAAAGGGTGGATAGCGTAAGGATTTGTCCTCAGGTGTCTCTCTTGTTCCTTTCTCACTGTGAGGTCGCTTTTGAAATATCTCAACCGGAGCGGATTGGCAGGACTGATCAGTAAAATCGACTTGAGCTTTTGGGAGAAGGTCTGTGGCGTCTTTTCTAACTGCAATGTACAAGAGTGCATCGTTTGACAGACTGTTTTATCACCTTCAAAACAGTTATGTCAGATTTTCCTACTAGTCATACAGTTTGTGACAGTTATGACTACATGCAAATAGCTAAGCTGGAGTAGTTACAAACTATAGTGAAATAACAGAAATTGTTTATTATACCACCGGATGGGATACCACACTCTTGTACACTACTTTATTGTTGATTTTTCGAGAAAAAGTTATTCTTGATAAAAAGTTTTGTTTATCTTAGGAAGCCATGGGCAGTTATCAAATATGTAATAAAACGTACAGGAAGTCCAAAAAATTTAAAAATGAGAAATTTTCCCTAAGCAGTGCCTTTAATTTTTGTTTTCGTAAAATAAAAGAAATGTGATATGTGCAGGGCATCTGTCTTATTGAAATATAGGTTTTCTTCTGAACTCTAAATTTTCGTAAACTAGTTCTGCCAAAACAAAATTATTGAGATATTCCAAATACTAATTTTGATTAAGAGTTTCCTCCAAAAGTAAGGACAAATTATTTTATAATAAGTAAGTTTCAACGCAGATTTTTAAAATGTTTTTATTATTTGAAAAATGATATCCCTATTAAAAGATTTGCTTTGGTTGCCTGTTGTACAACCAAAAACGGAACAATACAGTTCAAGAAGTCATTATTAATAGACAATAAGCATGAAAGTTTTATTAGTTCACCTGAGAAAGCATCAGACATGAAAACCAAGATATAAAGATGGGTTAGCGTTGTTAATAGCACAATATCCACAAATCACAATTTACTCTCCACGTGACGTCATAACATGGCCGCGGGTATAAGCAATAATATATCTCTTAGTCTTTATATCATGTGCATTCAGTTTAAATAATGTTTAATATTTTGAAAATACATCTTTCCATTTTTTTTTTTCAGGTTGAGCAGTTCACGGTACTATGGCTGTTGTTCATAGTAATAGTGGCAGGCAACATAGGCGTCCTATACACACTGATGTTTGGCAGGTCGCGAAAAAGCAGGATGAACTACTTCATCACGCACCTAGCTTTTGCAGGTAAATTGATAAATCGACGAGAGGAACGTTACATCTAAAGTGTGTTTTCCAGATTTGTCCGTGGGACTAGTCAGCGTACTGACGGACATCGTGTGGAGGATCACAGTGAGCTGGAATGCCGGTAACGTCGCCTGCAAATTGGTGAAGTGCCTGCAGGTATTCCATTTCGTTACTTCTATCAGTATCTAGTACAAAAGTAAGAGGTGGTATATACAGGGTGATCCACAAACGGTGACCAAAAATAAAACCTCGTATCTTTGGTGAATTTTAATGGCAGTTTTTCGTAAGTTAAAACTTGACAAAATATTTTTAATTTTTTTAAATAATTTAAAAACTAGTAAGTAAAATAATTTGAAATTGGGCTCATGTATTTATGTAAACAGTGTCCAAAATCTCATGCCTTTTCCTAAAATATTGATGCTCCAGTGGCGGAGGTACAGGGTATCGGTGGACATATTTTTCTAAATAAAATAGTACGCCACTGCTTTACGGTAACAATCATGATATTTTCGGATTCGTCTTTCAATTTTCTACAAATTACTGCTTTCTTATATTTTTCGAAAAAAACCTGATTTTTGAGTAAAACTTAAAAAACGAATATTATCGAAATCTAAATGAGGTCTCAACAATCCAAGAACATGAAGCTACAGAGTTGGTTATGCGCAACGAAAATCACTAAATATATCTGTTAGCGCCTAATTAAAAAAGTTCAGTTATTTCCTGAACAGACCTCGTATATACTTCTTTTTCGTACAAACACAATGATATACAGGGTGATTCAGAACTTATCCAAAAAAACTTTTGGATGTACAGGGGACAGATACAATTTTGTAAAGAAAAAAATCAAAAAGGGCAATTCGAAAATGATTTAAAAATACACTTCTGCACGCCACTGGAAACTGGTTCACTGTAAAACCTGACCTCGCACAATGCGACCAGCATGGCGGCAAAGTGTGATAAAAACGGACCAAAAAGAACTTATTTTTATCCGCAAAATTCAATTGGTTTTGCCGCTATTGTTATTACTAATTAATTAAGTTAATTTGTGGCTAAAAATAATTTGACATACCTGATGTTACAACTGTTCAAAATTTTATTCACCGACGTGTAAACACATTCGGGTCCGTCTTACTCAGTTTCTACGAATTAACACAAATGTTGTCTTGCTTCACCATAAATTGAAACGATATCCATCAACTCCGAGTTGCTATACACACAAGCCATTTTTGACACTAACTACTAAAAAACTATTGTAAACACTATCGCAATGACGCGACGATTGTAAAATAGGATTTCAGTATTCGGAGTCGCTGTGGCCACGTGGCTCTCCACGCGTATTGCGAATGACGCTAGAGGCTACAGTTGTCCAGTTATGTAATAGTTGAAAGTACTACCACTTCAATAATTTTTTTTCTCAGAAACTATAAGGATTTTACAATTTTTTTTTACGATATTGACTCCATTTGTCATGCCACATGTATTCCCAAATTTTTTTGGATAAGTTGTGAATCACCCTGTATAGAAATAGTTTTCAACAGACAGATGCAATCGCATTTAATTCGCAACAATGGATTTCGAACCTTTTGAAAACATTATATCGGAATGCGCATGCGTCTGACTGGAAACTATTTTGAATGATGTTTAAAATCGCATTGTAATAAAGCATGATGTAAAATATCTAAAGATTTATAATAATTATAATCAGTATAATCGTTTAATTTATCTCGAATCATGTTTAAAGTAGGAACTTTATTTTCTTTATACATATTATACATTGTGCGCCGCATTACTTCTGGTAAAATCGTCAATTTTCTTTAATTTTGTATTTTTCCGTTTCCTCTTTGTACCGTGATCAACCCTTCTTTAATTACGCGATTAATAGGCCTTTTTTGGATATCATGGTTAATTCGTTAATCCGTTTCCTAACTTTTTCATCACAGTGTTCACTATTTTCAATTTTCAAACATTCATATATATTTAATATAATACGTTGACTTTTTACGTGTTAAACTTTGTGTTTAAACTCTTGAGTTTGTTTCGATACCTTTGACAAAAACCGGTTCCATTATTTGGGGATTTTCCCAAGTTATTTCGTTATCCTCCGCTTCAAAGAGTCTCCAGAGAGCCACGCTAAATTACTAGATAATTACATATAATATTTATTTCAATTACTATTACACTTTACGATACGAACAAATAATAATAACTAAGAAATAATAATATGTATTATACCAACAACATACCCCACCAAGCAATGTTCTGCACTGCACTGGGAAAGCGGCAAAGCTAAGTGAACCCGTGTACCATACAAAAAAATTATTTACGACCTAGCGGACCAGTACAGGTTTGGTTTGATGACCAGCGCGCCGCCGTCAATTCTACATCAGGTGGACTAGTTTACCAAAAACGGACTCGCGGAATTGCTATTCGAGTATAAATTACGAGACACATCATGGTCAAAGCATAGGAACAAATTTGAGGAGAAGTGCATACGGTCCTGTGCTTTAAGATTTACAGGTTCCAATTGACATCGTAACAAGTATAACATGTTATAAATGCGTCCACATATTACGATATTGCGCGTGTGGCTAGATTATGTCCTCCTCAATCAGAGCGTCGCGTATTTCTGGGACTATTTTGGAAATACTTTGTTTGGATACTTTAAATAAATAAATCAAACTGATAAGAATCCCATGTAAGTAAAAATTTAAATGTGATAGCTAAATCGTTCTCGCACGAGTATAGCATCTCTAAATTGCGTGCCCTTTTTACATATTTTGTGATCCACTCTGTTTATTAACAATTCAAAATCAGCAGTTGACATTTCCTTTTTTCTTTTCTTTGCTGCGCACAAAATTACACAAGCTGCAGCCACGAGTACCTACCACGTCTTTCTCGTTGGACATTTTCGTGTTAACAAAACATGAAGATAATTCAGTAAAAATACAGGGTGTTAAAAATAGAGTGTAAAATATTTAAGGAGGTAATAGTATGAACCAAAATAAGCAGAAAAGTCTCAATAAACATGGGTCCGCAAAAGTAACGGTTGCGGAGATATGGAATGTTTTATGTTTTTTAGCCCCTTTTTTTATTTTGCAAAAACGTTGTGTATTTTCTTATAATAGTTGGTTGATGTTTAGTGAAATAAACAGTACGTATTTGACAGTTGTTCTCAGTGCACAAGTTTTCTTTCGCTATGGCTGGTTACTCTAACGCAGAATTAACAGACATGCATTTCATGTATGGTCGTGCTAATGGGAACGCCACCGAAGCGCGACGTCTTTATGTTGACGCTTATCCAAATCGCCAGATTCCTTCACAACGCATGTTTGGAAGAATTCACCAAAGATTGCGTGATACCGGTTCCTTGAGCAAACAGTGCCATTTATCCGGAAGACCAAGGTCGGTATCCACTCCTAGAGCAGAAGAAGAAATTCTAGCACTGGTAGAGCAGAATCCAGGTACGAGTGTGCGGAGAATATCAGCCGAGGTAGGAATTAGTGGTCCTCTTGTTTGGAGAATCCTTCACGAGCAACTGCTTTATCCATACCATGTGCAACGAGTACAGGCCTTAAATCCAATAAATGATCATCAAGCACGTTTGGTTTTTTGCCGCTGGTTTCTACGTCATGATGCTGAAGACCCTCGTTTTCTTGCAAACATTCTTTTTACTGATGAGGCCGGGTTCACAAGAAATGGAGTGTTTAATTTTCACAATACGCATATTTGGGCCGACGAAAATCCTCATGCTCTAATAGAATCTGGACATCAGGCACGTTTTTCATTAAACATTTGGATGGGTATTGTAGGTGACAGGTTTCTAGGTCCTGTTGTTTTACCAAACCGATTAACAGGCGCTGCTTACCTCAACTTTCTGCAGAACACACTGTATGAGTTTTTGGAAGACATTCCTTTGAATCAGAGGCAACAAATGTGGTTCCAGCATGATGGTGCTCCAGCTCATTTTTCCATGGCCGTTAGAGAGCATTTACACCAAACTTTTCCACATAGATGGGTAGGAAGGGCCGGACCTGTTTTATGGCCTCCAAGATCGCCTGATCTGAACCCTCTAGATTTCTTTGTTTGGGGATATTTGAAGACATTAGTGTATGGTACTCCTGTAAATAGCCTGGAAGAGCTGCAGCTACGGATTAATCAAAAGTGTCAAGAAATCCAAACCAAGGAGGGTGTTTTCGAAAGAGTTCGAATATCGTTGAGACGAAGATGTCGTGCCTGCTTGGAAATGGACGGAGGGCACTTTGAACATCTTCTGTAACTTTGTTTTTTGTTTGTTAAAAGCTTCCTTTGTCGGTTTATTCCTAATAAAATAAAATGTTTGAAAAACGAATAGTGGTCCATATCTCCGCAACCGTTACTTTGCGGATCCATGTTTATTAAGACTTTTCTGCTTATTTTGGTTCATACTATTACCTCATGAAATATGTTACACTCTTTTTTTAACACGCTGTATGTGGACGTATACAACATGTTTTGTATAACATGTTAGTAAATGAGGACGGTTCTTTTACGGCAAATGTAGTAACCGCACCTGTATATTAATCTGTATCTTCTAGGTTATCGTCACCTACGCATCAACTTACGTCCTGGTGGCACTGAGCATTGACCGATACGACGCCATCAGACACCCCATGAAGTTTTCCGGTAGCTGTAAGTAACAGAATATTTACATAAAATATCCGGTTTCATTTCCAACTTTTTACTTTTTAACTTACACAATCGCGCGTGGGTCGAAGTTCACACAAAAACAAGCCCGAAAGATTACATCGAAGGTGTAGGCGTAGGTACGCCCTCTCGAGTTCAAATTAGAACTTCGCCAGTCAGATATATAACTTTTGTTGTTGTTGTAATGAGGGTTTTTCAGGGAGACGGGCCAAATGCCTCATAATAGCCGCCTGGCTGTTCAGCGTCCTGTTTTCCATACCGATATTAATCCTGTACGAAGAGAAGGTCATCCAGGGTAAGCGTCCTTCATTATCGATAATATTCGTTAATTAATAAGTCGTATCATATTTTAAAAATTGCGGCTTGTTAATAATTAAATACTAGGTGGTTCAGGCTTTAATCGGGAAACTTAGGTGATGGGACCATTGTTTTTTTTTTCAATATAGGATACGCAACAGATTAGCTAGGTCAAAAAAAGAGATCCACAGGTCAGCAAAAATACAGGAAAAGATGTACAGCAGTATGATTTTTTTTACTAACATATGTGCTAGTTGTAATATTTTGCAAAAAAGTTAACTGCATTCTCAGATTTTTGTTTCAATGCGTTACGGTTCCCAGAAACCATCATTATTTCCTTCGCAACTTTCTTTTTCTTATAGACAAAACGTAAGAAAAAATAAAGTGCAACGATGGTTCTTGAAACCGTAAAATTGAAATAAAAATCGGCGATCATAGTGAAATTATTTGTAAAAAGTTGTCATAATAGGCGTAATTACCTATCTGGGAATCTGGAATTGTGGGGAGGGTAGCTTAGAAGCTACAGCACTTAGATCTGAACCGTTAACATGGTCAGTATTTTTTGGCTGTATCCTTGCTAGGTTATTCTAGGAACTCCTTAACAAATTGACGGCTATTTCAAATGGTCATTTTAGATAAAAAAAAACCGCGGAGTGGTAAATTAGAGGGTGGAAATTGGAGATAGGGTTGAAAATGCACCCCTTTCAGTTTTTTAATTATAGCTTGAATACGAAGCAAAATTTCGTTATAGTTCATAGGAAAAATTATTTAAAGAATTGAATTTCCATCGAAATAGCTTATTTAAAAAATGTAAAAGGAAAATTTTATGTAAAAAAAATCGTTAATAAACAATTTGAAAAAAAAGCAAAAAATTCGATTTTCTGTTATTTTTTACTTTTTTGCCTCCAGTTTTTTTTTTTGAGTAAAGATAAGTCAAAACCTATTGCTTCATGGAAAAAAGTAGATAAAATTTCCTTCAAAACGAGAGGTTGTAAAGTATTTTTGGATGAAAATTGACTGACATATGGCCACTCAAACTTAGCCAATTAGCCAATTTTTTTATTTTCGTCGCGCTTACCCTTACGTTTTAATTCTCATTTTTTGCAAAAAAGGAAGGAAATAAGACGTTCAAGGATTTTCATCACATGACTTGTTCGAAGGGTCATTAAAAATGAAAAAACAGCGGGGTGCTATTAAATTAGAGGGTTGAAATTGAAGATAGGGGTGAAAATGCACTTTTGCAGTTTTTTAAATATAGCACGAAAACGAAGCAAAATTTCGGTATAGTTCATAGGAAAAATTTTGTAGAGAATTGAATTTCTCATCGAAATGGCTTATTTAAAAAATGTAAAAGGAAAATTTTATGCAAAAAATCGTTAATAAACAATTTTAAAGAAAGCAAAAAATAAGATTTTTTTATTTTTTTTACTTTTTTAATAAAATAATTTAGTAAAAACTTGAGAATTTAAGTACAATAAAGTTTATTAATAATGTATATACAGTGTGTCCACGGATGGAGTTGACAAGAGGAGAAACTCTTTTGTTTTTGACTTTATCGAAAAATGTCACCCTTTATAAAAAGTTCTGCCCCTCGAAAAAATGAGACTGTCATACAAACATCTTAGATTAGATATACAGGGTGCTCATAAATTAAAAAAACACGAAAATACTAGAGAGAAGTACCATTATTTATTATTTTACACAACAATTTTATAGAACAAATCTGTTTATAACCTCAAATAATGTCCTAATACAAATTTTAAAATACAAATTTCAGTTCTGATTTTTACTCTAGGTGTAGCTACTTCCAACCTCAAAAATTGAAATTTTTTTGGATATAATCAATAACCTATTTCTATAGTTTAGAATTTAGTAACATCTGTTATTTCTAGAGATTTTCCAAGCTATTCTTTTTTTTTATTAAATTGAAATTATATTGAAATGTAGTTTTCACAGAATAATAAACTACAGAAATAGTTATGTATAATTTTATTAATATTTTGTTAAGGCTTTCAACTGAGCCGTTTTCTACTGAAATATTTCAAATCCTTGGATGTGTGAGCACTTTTTGACTAGTTTCTTCTCTATTTCTGTATCTACTTCTGACTTTAAGCCTTTTGGCACTGATTTTTAAGCTTGAATTTATCCCTTATGTTCTTCACTACAAACACAGAAAATCCTGCAGATAGCTGATTTACGCACAAATTTTTTACAATGATTTGAGTTGAAAGAGAAAGTTTTTTATTGCAAATGTTTACAATATATATATCACAAGTAAGAGGACGCTATACAATGCAAGTATGTAGTAATAGTTAGAATTCGGTCAGCGAATCCGGAAAAACTATATTTGGTTTATTCAAATTTTTTGGAATTGTTGTGTGAAATTTTCAGGTAGATTTATTTCCATCTAAATAAGTACTCACTCTGGCTACAGACTTCCGCTCTGGCTACATAATCTGCGATATCCCAGGGTCGACGTTTGATCACAGCACGAGATGACTCCGCCAATTCTCGGGTACTGGTGTTCCGTTCGGATTCTGTCACTTGGCCTCTCCGGATTTATCGCGATTTATGGCTATCGACTTCCCCATTGTGGAATCTTACTGTTATTCTAGATTTATGTGAAGCAACTCGGTATTATTTTCTCGATATTTTCGCGAAAAAAATCGAAATTGGACGAAGGTTATCGGCAATCAATCTGCCAACAATATCGTGATCTCCTGATATCGTGCTCAGGGTTTTCTACTTCACAAGGATAGTTGGCTAGATGCCCTTGAGTATTGGTTTGCTGGGTTTTCCACGCTTATGAAACAGCTTCGTACTTCAAATTCGAAAGTCCACTGAAATACCAAATGTACTAAGGACTTTTGGAATACGATAACAGCTCGAAAATGAAACTCACCTCTAAATGAAACCATTCACTTGAAATCGTTTGTTCTATCATCTGGCAAACTTTCCTGAGTAAAGCCTGACCATCTATGGAAAAGTTTCCGTATTGACACGTGTACCATTACGCTCCTAAAGCGACGGCCGATTCGTAACTTTCCAGGTCAGAACCAGTGCTGGCTCGAGTTCTCGGCCCAGTGGAAGTGGAAGCTGTACATGACCCTAGTGTCGCTCACGCTCTTCGCCATTCCAGCCGCCATCATCACCAGCTGCTACGCCATCATCATCGCCACCATATGGACCAAGAGCTCCACCAGCTTCGCCAAGCCGAAGAAAGGCGCTACAGAAGGCCGTCTAGGTAACATCTCCAGATCGTACTTAGTCGGTGTTATCGGTGGATCATGAAAATTATTTTACTTCTCAGGTGCATGTTTTCAATTTAAGGTTCCGACAGTTCTAGGAGGGCCAGCTCGAGGGGGCTCATCCCCAGGGCCAAAGTCAAGACAATCAAGATCACCTTCGTTATAGTCAGTGGTGAGTATGCTGTTGAAATAATAAATTTTATTGCCAATACGCGTCTTTTACAATATCTGCATTTTTTAATTTTCTTAGTTAACAAAGAATTAAAAATTAATAAAAAGTAATCAAAATAATTTTTTTAAGAGAAAATAATGTTGGCACTGTTTTTATGTTAGAAACAGACATTTAATATACGGACATGAAAATTTTTCAGTACATTTCTTTAAATATTTTTTATTAACAAATGCAATTAAGTACATATTTTTCAATTTTTTTTGCATTTCATTCTGTAGACAGAGTATATTATTATTTAAAAAATATGCTTTCTTAAAAATTTTTAATTGTTTATAATATATTTTTTTTATTTTATGGTTGTTTAAATAATATATTAATAATTCTTTTCTTTCTCTAAATTTATAATTTGCAATTTTCCATAAGATTACAGAATTTTTTTTTGAAAATTTATTTGTTTATTTAGTTAACAATTTATTATAAACAGTCGTCAAAGGTGCTGTTATTTTTTGTAGATAATGAAAATATATCAAAACTAACCATAACTATATAATTTTTTGTCAAAAAAAAATGATTTTGATTTTTAATAGAATTTTTTAATTTGGTACCTATCTCGGGATATCAAAGCGGCTATGTTTACTTATAAACAGCTATAACTTTTAAACTGTCTATTAAAGATACAGTTATGGACATTCAAGACAATTTTGTAGAATTTTTATTGATCTTTCAGGTGAGTTTTCGACCATGTCGACGATAATATTTTGAAATTTTTATATTAACATTTAATATCATATTTTTTTTTAAGGTCGGTTTTGCGACGCCGTACGTGCATTGCTTTCGACGCTAGAAGCCGTATTTTCAACATTAAATTAAAATTATAAATAATGACGATAGAGATAGAGATTTGGGAGTTGGGACATTTTTATAGGAAATTTCTTCTTCTTAAAGGATCTTTTTCAAATTAACGCTAACGTTTATATTTTTCGAGTTATTTGCAACTCTTATTTTTTAATCTTTATTCGTTTGATGAAGATAGTAACAATTTATTTGCGATTAAAATTTTATTTTGTATAGAATCTTTACCTACATATAATTGTCTCCGCTAACGTACTAGAACGCCATTTCTCATGTAGTTTAATGGTGGTAATATCGGCCCCTGCGTAGGCTAAGAGTGCTCCTTATAAGTTTCCGGATGAGGCAAATTGAGATAAGTTGCTGCTTCTTTTGACTCACTCCTTATTTTGTTGAGGCCAACCACTTGTTAACACATTTTCCCTGACATACTTCACAAAAATTATTCAACTTGTAGTAACTGCCAGATGTAAAGCACAGTATTTGCGGTATATCTTCATTTGGTCTGGACTTGAAATCACAAAACATGTCGGAGCATGAGTTTTGGAATCGGGAATTCTTATAATAATAACACCGCCCAACAAAAAAAAAAGGTATGTGAACTTTACATTAGGCATAAGATTTCCTGTGTATTTTTGTCTCCTGAGCACGAATCCATAGTCTGTTTTGCTCCATCACCCTTCAGTTTTCCGTAAATGACTGAAAATCGATAAAAATCTTCAGTAAAATTTAGAAATTTAGGAAGTGACGAGATCTTAACACGTGACACATGATTTTACGACGTAATTGTACCTCCTGGATCTGAATTCGTTGTCAGAATTGCTCCATAACTAGAGGGTTCTCAAAGCTTCACAAACACCAATTATTAAAATTACCTGAAAAGTTGTTCAAAATTAGTTTGAAGTAATTAGTAATTTGAATTACCTTTTTCTAGCAGAAATCTATTATCAGGTGCTTCTTGTAAACATCTCTCAAGGTATCCAACTGATTTGCTTTTCAAGTATGGTAATAGTTTTCGAATTTTCTGATATTTACGTTTTTGTGGTATCCAGTGTACTTTTTAATATGGAATATACTGACGATAACATCGAAGGTTTAATTTTATTAATTTTATGTTCGAAATGTGCCAATAATACCGCTTCGGACACTTTTTGAATTTTCTTCGAACTACACCACTCTTTGTAAGCAATCTCGTACTATCTCGACGATTTTTTGGGGATTAATTGTGAAACAGCACTTTGTATGAATTAAACACTCTTATAATTACATCATACAGGGTGTTTCTAAAATAGGGTCCCAAACTTCTGCTGCGTTTATAACTCATTAAAATAAGCCCAAAAGTTCCTATTAACATGTGCCCTAAAACGCACCCTTAGGAAGTTATATGCCCTTAAAAGGGCTCAAACAAAACTGTTTTTTTCCAATAAATTGCAGTTATTTTTATTAAGCGTTGTGGCAACGTCAGTCTTTTATTTGCCATGGTAAACAGATTTTTGTAATTTTTGGCCTAATAACTTAAAGAGCAGAGTAATTTTCAAACTCAATTTACTCGAAAACCATTGGAAATATCGATTTGGACAAAGATAATATTTTTTACGTAAAATTGTTAAGATTTTATAAATCTGTAGAGAAAACTGTAAAAAAATTGAAATAAAAAAATTACGGGCCGAAAACCCCCTTCACCAACCTAAATGGGACGCATATGATTTGCATGTCGAAAAACGGAGTAGCCCATGTTATTTAACGTAAAAAGTTATGCAAGACCCATAAATTTTTTTCTATTTATTTTCGACCGTTTTGTCAATAACAGAAAAAAAAACAGTTTTGTTTGAGCCCTTTTAAGGGCATATAACTTCCTAAGGGTGCGTTTTAGGGCACATGTTAATAGGAACTTTTTGGCTTATTTTAATGAGTTTTAAACGCAGCAGAAGTTTGGAACCCTATTTTAGAAACACCCTATATAATTCTGGCACTATTTTTTTTATTAGGTTGCTATCGTTATGATAGTCATCCCGCCTAAATCGTCTTGATTTAAACACGGTTCAAAAGATTTAAATTATAAATTATTATAATTAAATTATTGTATATAACAGTTGTCTTATTTTATTGCAGTTCGAAAAAATATTGTTTGCATCTCGAACGCGAAATCCTTTTGCATTCTCGAATGCATATTTAAATAATTTCCATTCTTGAACGCAAAACTACCATTACGCATTCTAGATACAAAAATAACTCTAACACAATTTTGATAAAGTAAAATTATGTATACATATTTTTTTCTTGATAATCTGACATATGTATACGCCCAACGAGCACAAAACCGGTATCCTGAAAAAACAAGATACGAGCCCTCGACATATACGACATATGCAAATGCTACACATCCCGTTCCCCTCAGACATATCAAATTTTCCGATACATGAATAAGTTCTCCGTTTCAGTGTTCATAATATGCTGGAGTCCCTACATCCTCTTCGACCTCCTGCAAGTGTACGGCCACATCCCCAACACCCAGACCAACATCGCCATCGCGACGTTCGTGCAGAGCCTGGCGCCCCTCAATTCGGCCGCCAACCCCATAATCTACTGCATATTTTCCACGCACTTTTGTCGGACTTTATGGTAAGTGTGTGCTCCCCTACGTCGCAGAGGGATTGGTTTATGAAATGAATTTTTCAAACGCGCAACATAACATGTATTTCTTTAGATACAGTGGCGGCTCGTCGGGTGACGCAAGTGGCGCACCGCTTCACCTAGAATTTCCGTTTGGTTGTGCAATTTAAAATTATCTTTAATTTTATATAAATTTTATAATTTAGGTATAATTCTATATTGATAATGTATTGTGTTTGTTTGTTTAATACGCAGAAATAAACAGAATAGTGGCGCGGTGAACGCNAGAGAAGTATGTTTTTTCACATTTTCTTACAAAGTTTTCCATTTTTAGGTCCCTTGCGACACTTATGCCAAAAAAATTTTGTGATAAAATCGATACTTCTCTTCAACTTACGAACATGGCATAAGTGAGAAATACGTCGCTGTACACATTATTTTTTTGAAAAGGAAAATTGAATTTTCACAAAGGTGTCCCGCAGTCCATCTTTTAAATTTAGTTTATTGTACTTATCTCTCGGTTACCTGTCAGTACTCTCAGAGGCATAAACGAGAAAGACGTCGTCGAACTTCAGTCTAATATCTCCCGGTCTATTAGGAAAGCTATTGGATGCAATGTACGATGTAGAGTTCAAAATATCGGCATCGAGGCTACTCTAATAATTCTGTTGCTATTTTACAAGGGCACAGGTTGAATGAACGATTTCACGTACTTTGGTTGTTACAAAAACTAGACATCTGATTGTGTTCCTACACGATACAGGATGGTATAAAATTTCCTAGCCAAGGATGCTGGGACACAACAATAAATATATATTTTATTAAGGTGTCTTATTTGAATTCTACACGCAAGTGACGCAAGTGATGCACCACTTCACCTAAAATTTCCGTTTGGTTGTGCAATTTAAAATTATCTTTAATTTTATATAAATTTTATAATTTAGGTATAATTCTATATTGATAATGTATTGTGTTTGTTTTTTTAATACGCAGAAATAAACAGAATAATGGAGCGGTGAACGCCTTCTAAAAAAACATTGCCTTCGTTGAGCGCGAACATCAACCTCGGACCATACAACGTATAGTATACAAAAGTGATGCAGATTGAAATCAGTCTGTATTCTGCTTCTCTTCGTATAGTACGATCGTATTCGATGCAAAGTAATAAATCATTGCCTGTCAAGGGAATCAGTGCAACACATTTTATAGGGGGTTTTGGAAATTGAATAATTTCTTTATGCATTATGGATTAACAGTTATATATTTATGAAGGACAAAATGAAAAACAAAGGCATCTCCTTCGCACATTGGGCGGCAGGACAACAATACATTTATTACTCCCTTCATTATCCCTCATATGACTTGTGTCTTGTGTTTTTTGCGGCGGCGCGCGTGCCGGCCTGGCGTGGTCAGTTTCGTTTCGGTTGTATTGGTGCTGCGTGTTTCTCGCTCGCGATATTTGTGAGGTTATAACTGTTATAAGTGCAATTATATTTCTTTCGGGCTATATGTGTGTTTCGCGCTATTATTTGAGAATTTGTGAGTGAAATCATATTTCTTGTGCTCCGTAACAAAAGTGTTTTTAGTGTTTTATTTGTGTGCTGTGTGTGTGTTTCGGGCTATTGTTTGTGAATCGTGAATGCTATTATATTTTCTGTGCTAGTGAAGTGAAGTTTTTTGTATTANTCAAATTTTGAAAGCATTTTTCTTTTGACCATTTTTCGATAGTTTGGATTTTACGTTGTCAATCCATTTTCCGTTTGGAGAGTATGGAAGCTTTCTTCTCGTAATACAAAGCTTGCTTATACAGAATTCTGGAGATAGGAGACAGTTGTGAACTCTTATGTACACCAACATTTTTCAACAAACCATGTTCTGAAAAAACGGCAAATAAAAACTGATATTACATTAACTCATTAATATTACATACTGCGTGCTACAAGATCATTTAACCTTATTTGAGAATTTTCAGATGTCTGACGGTACTGAATTGCACCCAATTCATTATTTTCATCACCTAAAATAGAAATACAGCTAAATGTGATACTAAAATATGCTTTTTATGAAAATTAAAATACATGAATGTTGACTACTTAAACTCTGTATTCATGAAAATATACTTACCAAAATGTACAAAGGTAGAACTGGTTGATGGACCAGGATTATTTGGTGTTGACATAAATATACGGCCATCAGGTTTAATTTTGCTGTGGTTTAACTATATAACTTTTTATTTGGCAGACAATAAACAAACGTATTAACATATGACAAACGTCAAAAGTACATAAACAAGGGTCAAAATCAAAACAAAATGATACCTGCATTACCTGCGTTTGAAATCACAAAAACTAAATAGCACCATCTTACGATATGGAAGCCGAAGTTACAGTGGAATGTTAGGTATGCAAATGGTATAGGTTGTTGTATATCAGATTTCATTCTATGTTAATATTCCATTTTCTATGTATAGTATATAAAAGTGACGCAGATTGAAATCAGTCTGTATTCTGCTTCTCTTCGTAGCGTTCTTTACGGCGGTTGTCATGGCAACGAGGCGGCCAATACGGCGCGGCGTGGGGGAATGAGTAACGCGGAAATTCTTAGTTAATATTTGTTTTGTATAACAATTGTAGAAATGTTTCCCATGTATTATCCACTATTCAGTATGTATTTTATTGGACACTACATTTTTCAGATGGAAACTCGAGGACAAAAAGGAGTTTTTAAATTGCGAGAAACCTCTGCCTTATTCTCTCGATATGGAAAAAAGGGGAAGTCAAAAGACAACGTGTACTTTCGAAAGTTTCGGAATGAATGGTATTCGGAGTATAAGTGGTTGTGTGGAAGTGTTCATTTAAAAAAACTTTACTGTATGCCGTGTTTAATTGTGGGTGTAAAGTCGGGCGTGCGGAATAAGAAAGAATCTAACAATTTTGGGAACGCCACGCGAGATTGTTGTAACCATAACGCTTCTTTGGAACATACATGTACGGTGTGCGTTAATGTTCGCAGAAATCCACAAGCCGAACTAATATTTCTATTTTTTATAAAATCTAAATGAAAACCCTACTCACGAACGTCAGTTTTTAGGTAATATTGCAAATGCCACTAAAAATTTCCAGATTTATTTAAAGCCGTTTGATCTTGAAAATTTTCGCCAGCAGCGCTTTTTTCTTTTTAGTCAACCTACGAAAATCTAGACGACCTATCTAGTCCAGTCATTGAAGTAAATACGGCGTTACTGTATAATTTCCCCAAACAGCACCGATTTGCACCAAAATTTGAATTTAGGTTCTACTTACCCTCTACTTCAAAGTTGACCCTGTGCCGGGGGTTGCTTTTTATTTTTTAGGGATGAAAACTACTCCTATTCGAAAATAATTACGGAATTGTAGATTCGAGCNGACAATTTTTTGCTCTACTTTGCATCGTATACGATCGTACTATAGCGTTATTTACGGCGGTTGTCATGGCAACGAGGCGGCCAATACGGCGTGGGGGAACTAGCGACGCGGAAATTCTTAGTTAATATTTGTTTTGTATAACAATTGTAGAAATGTTTCCCATGTATTATCCACTATCCAGTATGTATTTTATTGGACTACATTTTTCAGATGGAAAATTGAGGACAAAAAGCATTTTTTAAATTGCGAAAAGCCTCTGCCTTATTCTCTCGATATGGAAAAAAGGGGAAGTCAAAAGACAACGTGTACGTTCGAAAGTTTCGGAATGAATGGCATTCGGTGTATAAGTGGTTGTGTGGAAGTGTTCATTTAAAAAAACTTTACTGTATGCCGTGTTTAATTGTGGGTGTAAAGTCGGGCGTGTGGAATAAGAAGGAATCTAACAATTTTGGGAACGTCACGCGAGGCTGTCGTAACCACAAAGCTTCTTTGGAACATACATTTACGGTGTGCGTTAATGTTCGCAGAAATCCACAAGCCGAACTAATATTTCTATTTTTTATAAAATCTAAATGAAAACCCTTCTCACGAACGTCAGTTTTTAGGTAATATTGCAAATGCAACTAAAAATTTCCAGATTCATTTAAAGCCGTTTGATTTTGAAAATTTTCGCCAGCAGCGCTTTTTTTCTTTTTAGTCAACCTACGAAAATCTAGACGACCTATCTAGTCCAGTCATTGAAGTAAATACGGCGTTACTGTATAATTTCCCCAAACAGCACCGATTTGCACCAAAATTTGAATTTAGGTTCTACTTACCCTCTACTTCAAAGTTGACCCTGTGCCGGGGGTTGCTTTTTATTTTTTAGGGATGAAAACTACTCCTATTCGAAAATAATTACGGAATTGTAGATTCGAGCGTGTAATAGGTTGAAATCATCTTTAAATAAGTAATTATGATGAATTGAAAACTGTCAATCGCTAAAAATCACCCCCTACGACAGTAATCATTAAAAATAATGTAGAAAAATATTATTCAGCAACTTGGAATAATTTAATCATATAGTGATATTAAATTAAGATTTTTTTACTGTTTTAATTTTTTATTATTTATTTATAAGTTTCTTATAAAAACCACCCCTTACAAAAAAATCATATTTCACGAATTTGTTAACTGTAAAATAAAGGTCGAACGCGAAAAGATCAGTTTTCGAATATTGCGCATTATTATTGCAAAAAGCGATGGATGTTGATGAAATTTATGGAAAAGACGGTCAATCCAAAACCCAACATGTGTGCCAAAGACCAATTCAATTGACCGTGAAATTGTTGCTCCAGCTATTTGTTAATTAATTTCATTCGTTTTTTTACAACTAATTGTTTAAATACTAGACGTTAATTTTAGAAGTTAATATCGTAGATCAAAAAGTTGATATTAAGTAGCCCTTTGCAACTAATAAAGTAGGACGCGCAAAACAGCGTTATAAGCAAATTGTTCCAGGGTCAGGCAAAAGCCGCTCGAGAATTCGCTCTTTTGCATTAAATAGAGCTAATTTTTATATATTCAAACAGCTATTTTAACAATAAAAAAACTGTACATCATTTTGTTTCAGGCTGCTGACGCCGTTCAAGTGGTTGTGCAAGAAGAAGAAACGGAAAACGACGGAATCTTCTACCAACACGCAGAGTAGCAGTTTATCGGAGTTCCTGACGAACACCCACAAAAAGAAATCCGATGCCTCGGCTTCTAACTCTCACACAGTATTAATCCATGCCAAAAATTAAGTATTAGGTGTATTTGTATGTTACGTTAAGATAAGTGTAATAAAAATTAATAAACGGAATGGGTGTTTGTTTGTTTAATACCTATATTACAGGAACAGGTATCCTTATGTTGTCTAAAATGTCGATGGAAATCTCAAATTTTTATCAAATATTAATACCATTAAAAAGCATAATCTTGAAAAAGAAACATGCCCACCAGTCACGCCACTGTTTTTCAATAACTTCGCCTTTTTTTGTAACTTCAATTAATATTGTTTAATTTTAATTAATTAGTTTATGAAGAAATTTAAATATTTTTAAACAGTACATAACTCATAAAAAAATATGTGTACCTTGTTTTTCCATCAATTAAACTTTAAATTAAAAATTATTAAGAGACCTGCGTTGCCTCCAATATAAAATGATCATATGGCGCAGAAATACATAAACAGCTAAAAAACTAATTTGGTGCATATTTTTTTTAATATTATGCAGACACCACTTCCCACATGCACGCCTCTGTTGACATGATTAATTCTGGTTACTGCAAAAAATGCCTTTTCACATTTACCGGCAGAAGCGAACTCTATTAATAATCTGCGAAGTGAAAATTGTAATAAGGTAAGTAAATTAGTGCCTACTGGAGTTGTTGAAATATTTTTTCAAAATACTTTGGGTGATTATATTTATTCTTTTCAACCAATAAAGATATTATTAACAGAATAAAAAATATTAATAGAGAAGCATATGGCATAGATGAATTGATATAAAAATGATTAAAATTATTATCCCTTATTGTATTGACATTGTTACAATCATTTTTAATAATTCAATTACTAGTGGTATATTTTCAGATACCTGGAAAACTGCAGAAATAATACCAATACCAAAAGTTAGAAATTCCAGTACTTATAACGAATTAAAATCAATATCTACACTATTTAGCAACAATTATAAAAGTTTTGGCAAGTAACTAACTATTTAGAAAGAAATCAAATTTTACCAGTCGGGTTTTCGTAAAAATCATAGTACTAATACTGCTATGATAAATCACTGTCAACGATATTGGTTTATTAGATCCAATTAAGGTATTCGATTTAGTATCTTCTGAACTTTTATTATCCCAGTTATTTTATATTGGATTTGATCAGGGTGCTATAGTGTGATTTCATAGTTATTTACAAAATAGCAAAGGGTGAAAATGAATCATGAATTAAGTTCACAATTAAAGTCAATAAAAAGTGGTGTACCACAAGGTAGGATCTTGGGACCAATTTTGTTTTCTATTTTTATATTTGACTTCTCATCAATATAGTGAAATTTGGAAGATTGCGAAGACATGTACGCAGATGATATACAATTGTACAAATCTTGTTCACATGTACCGCTACTGAATCAACTGAATAAATAAATTGTGATTTGAATAATATTTATATCTAATTGGTGCAAGAATAATGGTCTCAGAATAAATCCAAATAGTATCATCAGCATAAAATTTGGCACATACATTGATAATAATTTAAATACAGACCGAATCTGACCCTTGTGTACTATTTACATAGATACTATAAAAATTATCAACTTCAAATAAATTTATGTTTACAAGGATTTGAAAGTATTTAAGAATAACCAACACGTGTTTCGTAAAATATATATACTAATGTGCTTAAAACTTACAAAAACCGGTATAAAAGAATATTCCTAAATTTAAATAAAGTAAAAAACCATTAGCCGTGTTATTCCTAATACGCATGCTCGGAAAGAATTGTCTCATACGCAGGTGATATGTTATATCTGTCACCATTAGCGTATTTTCTCTTCTTTTGTTTAATCTTGTTACTTTCTAGTTCTACTAAGTATTTTTATTGTTTTTCTTGGTGTTGTACTGTGCGACTGTGTTTATCGAGTGTTTTTTCTTCAAGTGGTTTATTACAGACGTATTCTTAATCACAACCAAACTTTTCTCCTGTATTTTATCCTGTTGCGAGCCTACTTCGCTTACACGAAATTATCTTTAATGCGCATGCTCAGTAACATTGATATAATTTTAATTTATTAATTACTGTAAAAGTTAATATTGTTTTATAAAAAATATGTAAATTCTATAATTCTTTTAGTTTGTCACTTGGGGTTTGAAACTTCTTAAATATTTCTAAAATTGCTAGAATATCGCGATATTTAGGGTCATGACAAAGAAGAAATTTTTTGACACTTATGTCCAAAGTACATAAGGTCGAAAATCGATCTAGTAAAAATATTGAGAAATTTTTCATGACAATGTTCACTAGGGTTGCTTATTATTTGGATATGTGACTACTAAAAAGGTCTATAAGTGAACGATGAACGATACGGCTCTTTTCTATTTATAATTTATAATTCTGTCATTTCCATTTACTGTGATTTGAAAATTAATGAAAATAAATATACAAAAACAAAATACAAAAAATATAAATAATAAATAAATTGATAACAAAAACAGTCTTGTAATTTTGATAAAGTAGTATTTAAAAAAAGGAGGAATTTTATCTCCGTTTAACCAACCTTAGAAAAAATGCGTTCACTCGAACTTAGCAACTATACCTACAATCTGTTTTTTTATAGTCATGTAATTGAGGATATGTCTTTTTTACCTGAAGATGAGGAATAAACTCCACTTAATATTTTTAATAACTGAAGATATGCCGAAAATCTATTTAAAAAAATGTATCAATCTCAATTATATGTACTAGGTACTTTAGAATTCATCTGATTTTATAAATTGTTGACAATTAATAATTGCCCCAAAAGAATATCATCCATCGCATTGAATCTTATGCGAACGAATTTGATGAGAAAACGACTGCTTTTTCCAGTTTTTCCACGACACCGTACGCAAATATTGAATTCTACCCTCTTTTCTATATACCTACCTATTTCCTAGAATAGGAACACTTTCCAATTTTATTAAACTGTATTATGCAACATGTGGATATGAAGTAGGTGTTGAGGAAAAACCGAAATTTCCATCTAGGTGTTTATTGGAAATGTAAAAATATTCCTTTATATGTAAAATACCGACTCGGATATATTTGCTGTGGGTGATATTACCTTCCAATTTCTTTCATTTCCCCTTTGAGGTAGGCAAAGTACAATAAAGTATTGCAAATTGAAGTCCTATAAACGTTGGATGTGGGACATGAAGTTGATTAAATTATGGTAAAGCGAAAGAATATTTCAACTATTACCTGTTCCCGTTACTTATAACATTTGAAAAGCATTTCTCTTTACTCTCATTCAATTTATGTCACTAGGTATTAAAAAAATTGAAATAATTGGTCAGAACGTCTTAGGACGTCTTCCTACGGCTAATGGAAAAAAATAATTCAATGTAGCAAACAAACTTCTTCCTGTCATCAATATTAAAAATATACGTTTATCCTCTAATTAATAATTAATTCTAATAAGTACACAAGACAGTTTTTAATTTATTTGGGCTACAAGGATTCGTTCAAAGAAATTAAGTTAGGTTATTAAATATTAATATCAGCCTGGGGTACACTTCGTCAAAATACAGCGCATTATCAGACTTAATTACAAGTAGGCAAATATCTCTTGCTTTGATACTGTATTTATTCTGATCATATTATGCTTATTTTGTTTGATGGGGGTATTTTTTGTACCGAGAGTTAAAAAATTAACCCTCAGCAATTTCACAATTTCGGTATTCATATTTCATTCATGAACGATGAACGTTAAAAAATCCGATCTTGGAATCGGCTGTGAAAAAAGTTAATCAGGTCGTATTAAATTATCTCTATGGAGTTTTAATATTCGTCAAATTTCTGTAATTGCAAATTAATTATATCAAACTGGGAAAATCTCTGATAAAAATTTTGTATAGGTAGATTTATATGGAGTTTTTCTGGGTCGAAATTAATAGGTACCTACTAGTAGAGGAACAGAGGAGTCTCCAAAAGGAGTACTTGAGTATTATTTCTTATAAGAGATAACACAATTTTCATTATTGTCATTAATTCAATACACAAATATGTATATAAATTTAAATTTATTAATTAAATTTATTTATTAATTTATTAATTAAATTTATTTAAGTTTTTAATTTGACATTTTAACTATACAAAGTTCAAAATATAAACATTCGAACATATATATTTTGAACCCTGTAGAAAATATTTCTGCGACGGTTATGGTCACGGCCAGTGTTGCCAGATCTCCTGTTTTAACAGGAGATCTCCTGTTTTCACTCTCACTCTCCTGTTCTACTGTTTTCACTATGAGATCTCCTGTTTTTAGTTTCAATGTCTATTCTTCTGGTTTCTCTATGAAATCTTCTGTTGATTATACTAATTTTCCCCAGAATAAGAATATTTTAGTACGACACTGTTCTCTAACGGCACTGTGTTCGTCACTTGTAAATATTTTCAGTCCTGTTATATTTTCTGCAGCCCAGTTCATGTACATATTTAAATTTTAAATCCGCAATTCGCGTTTATATGAACTGGGCCTAACAGAATAGAAGGCGAGTTCGTTTACTTCAGCGGGATTCCGGGATTTATCATTTTGACAACTGACAGTTGTCAAATCACGTGACGTACCGATGTAATTG